GGTGGGCAATTGAGTTATTGCTGCCATAGTTGAGTATTTGATCTGTGCAAGTGCGTTGATGTTCTATAAACTTGTGTTTCGAAATTTCCTGTGTTGGTTCTCCTGATTAAGACATCTAAAAATGGGATTTTCTTATCTAATTCTTCTTCTCTTGTAAATATGATGTCTTCAAATATGTTGTTTATTAATTTATGGGTGGGTATATTCCAAATCACATTTCTTTTAATTATTACAAATGTATCATCACCCAGATTTTCGGTTTAATTGTAGGTAGAGCTATTAATTCTAATCTTTGCATAACGCAACTTCAGCTAGTAATCCTGATATGGGCAATCCCATTGGTGTTCCTTTTATCTGTTCATATATTTGAGTATTGAATTGGAAGTATGTTCTAAGGCATTATGCTATGAGTTCTATCCAAGTTGAACATTGCGTTCTGATGTTTTCATCACTGTTGCATAGCTTCTGTTGCTAGTTTTGGACTAATTGAAGTATATAATGCTGTGACATCAAAGGACACCATTATTTCACTGTCTTCTACTTGAATATTTTTGATTTTCTCTAAAAATTGGATTGACGAATTGATAGAATGGTCGCATGATTCTGTTAAGTAATTCAATTTCCTGAAAAGTTCTTTAGATAGATTATATGTTGGTGTTCCTGGAAGCGAAACGATTTTTGTAGGCTTAGTCTACTATAGAATCGAGGTAAAATAGGTCCGTTAGATATCATTCGCCATTGATCCTGTTCTGTAAGTTGTCCTGATTTCATGCCTACACCCTACTCAATAGGTGGTGCTGTTTCCGTTTGAAACTTGGAAGGAGAGGTGTAGGGTTTTAGTCCCAGTTAGCGAACACTATCACTCTCAGACATACACGAATCTCTCCAGCTTATGAGTTTCAAAAAGGAAGAAATTCGAGCCATGGATTCCCCTATCAACCGTGAATTACTCCATTTTATAAGTGTATTGTTTTAGTCTCAGAGCTTGAATCTGAAAAACAAAACTTTTAGCTTCAATCTACGCATCTTTTCCAAAGCAACTTCTCAGAGAAGAAGAAACATCAGTCGACGAATTCTTTCAAATTATCGTAGAAGATAGATTTCATTAAATGAGTGAAGGAAGATAAGATCACCGATTGATTGACGTATTCTTCTCTTCATTTTACTTCTTCGCATATGAGATAAGTAAGAGGGCGAAAGCGGATGCCCGGCGCTCTCCACCGGGTTGACTGTCCATTGGATGACGGTCTAGGGGAGATGGCTAAACCCTGATTCCAAACCTCCAACGACTGGCGTATGAAGCTCACTGGAGCTCACCGGCATACGTATGGACAAAGGGCTTGTTGGATGTCCTGGATGTCTGGCCCCATTCAAAAAGGCGTATGAACCGAACTCCGGTCACCGGCTGCCAATGGATAGTGGACTCCTTACTCCACTCCTACTGCCTTGTAGGTCACACTTGGCTGTGTAAAGGCTAGAGCTGCACTCTCAAACAAAAGGCCGAGCGATGCTGGGGACATCACTCGTACCAAATTCCCATGTAACTTCATGAACTCTCTTACAAATTGCCGCGCCTGGGCAGCGATGATTCGAGACGTTCATGAAGCCGGCTCATCCTCCCGTAGGAGATAGCCGAAGTAAAGTAAAGTAAGTAAAGTATATGGGATAAGGTTTTGATTCCAGTGATGCCATCGTTCGTTTTAACGGAGGACTAAATTTTGTTTATTTTGACCTAAAATCGGTCTCCATTGTTTGTTTGTCATGTAGACTAACCTTTATTGATACCATGAAATCATTATTATTGTTCACTTGGGTTCCTAGTGGAACATAGGGCTTCAACTCCACGTCTCCACTTACTTCTGTCTTCTTCTGTACTTTTCACCTATATCCAGGTTAGTCCATACTGTTTCAACTCCTCTTCACACGACCTCCTCCATGTCACCCTCGCACTGACGCCCCATTCGCCGCGTGCTTCCCTTTCGGCCTGGTTCCACTCGAGCGATGGCCTGACGTGCGCGCGACGTCACCCAGCGGTGGCCTCCTCAGAGAGTGAGTGTCCAATCCATCTCAATCCACCTTCTCCTGCATATTTGTTGGTTGGCGACTGGTTCTTGTTTTGTTTCTTCCCATAGGTTCTCGTTGGTGATTCTTTCCGGCCCGTCCCGGCCATCTGATATTCAGTATAGAGCCAGCGAAGACAGTTGGTGATGTAGGTCTGCAACAGGCTGTTGGAAATATTCTTTGTGACCCACCCGCCAAGTTTCTCATCCGTGTAGAAGAACTGACTGACTTGACATTTGCATTGAAGATCCGAGCGAATTTTGTTGTTGATGATGGCTGAGTGACGAAGATTTCCAGATTGGTTTCAGGTTGATATCCTCGTCCGTTTCGACTTCCTGTAGTTGAGGCAATGCTCAATGCTAGATAAGTGAATGAAGTAAAATCTTTCAAATCCATCCCGTTTATGGATGGATGTACTTGACACTGGTTGTTAGAATTCGATGAGTGAGATATTCATGCCCACTGGAGACTGACTGCATGACCAAGTGGCAAATTGTAACCATTCGGGTCCAGAAAGTCGGGTGTGAGGACAAATACTCACCGATGGTATTAATCAACGGTAGAGGTTATAATTCATGGGCCATTGGATTTTGTCCCAGTGGCTGAATGATTAAAGAGCTTGCCTCACAGCTAGAAGGCTCTGGATTAGGTTCTCCGTGGTGGGATCATCAGTGTGTACGACTGAAGAGTCCCAAAGTAAGGTGAAACGGTTGTTCAGTGCTGTCACGGCATTGTTTTGTGATAACATTTATGCTGATATTTATGCAGATCCCTCAGGCGGGAAAAGAGCTAGCGGGAGTCAAACCAAAATACGGCTTCATCAGTCAATGAAATCCACAACAGTTAGTTTAAGCCAGCTAGTCACGTGGGAAGGTGTAGACTTCCTGGTTGGAGTCCACGGGATAATATGACTCAAAATTGTTGTTCTTAATGGCTGGCGTAGATGCACCCAGTTCTTGTAACTTATAACTTCCAATAAAACTATATTGTTCTACCACCATAGTGCTATTCTTTTTGCCTCATATCTTGTGTTTAGTTTCTCTATTTGCATTCCTTCTTTTTATTTTCTTCTCTTGCTTTGTGTGCTACGTGGAGTTTGGCGACTCGAACTGCTGCATATTGGTGCAAAGTTCTGTGTTGAAAACAGACAGACGGATCCAGATCTCTACAAAACTCAACTTCTACTGAGTCTCCTGATAGGACCCGGCATAAATTAGTATATCATCCTTTCTCACGATTTGTATGATTTATCTTATATTGGAGTTACTATATGGATCTATCATTTCTCACACGTATTGTGATCTGATGCTAAGTGACGAAGATTTCCAGATTGGTTTTATGTTGATGAATATGTTTCTCGCCCCCCCCCCTCCCCGTTTCTCGCTCGATTTGACGTACTTGTCTGTTCCGACTTCCTATAGTTGACACAATGCTTCCTAGATAAGTGAGTGAATGAAGTAGTCTCTTTCAAATCTTTCCTGTGTATGGTGATGGCGCTGGATGTTGCTACTGTTTATGTTGTTGGTTGTTTGATTGGTTATTTTCATAACCTCCGTCTTGTCTATGTTCACCTGGAGCCCTGCCTTCGCCGGCTGATTCTTCGACCAGTTTGTCGGTTTTCGCTTGTAAGTCTTCGGTTTTGTGTTGGTGACATCAAACATAAATCATCCACGCGCGAAATCCAGGTCTTCTAGGCTTTTCGCGTCGGTCCAGGATATTCCTGTCTTCTCGTTTCCCACTCACTGTCTGACGCATAATCCAGTCAGTCCACCACAAAACCATGAAATAATAAGATTCTATTCATTTGCTTGGCAAGCTGTGTGCTACCCAACTACTCATTCATATCGATCAGTCAGTAGTATTTACCTCCCATGTATGTATGATTACCCTCTTGATTATCGTTTACAGTATCAAGGAGATAGCGCATTTTGTGCTCTGAATGATTTCAGCTGAATTCCTTCTGGAACTGTATAAACCACGAATCGCCAATAGTCTTGGTGACTTGTTCTGAATGGCCGTTTCAAGGTGATCAATGGATCATTTCCTTCTGATTGGTCGCCTTTTCTTCACCTTCATCCAGACAGATTCGTTTGAAGTTTTTTTAAAAGTATAAATCAGTTTCAAAAGAAATAAGCTTTAGTAAATTAAATATTCCCATAATTTATTCAAAACAAAATACTTATTTAGAGCGAACAATTGTGGTTTCAATAAATTCTTCTTCAGGCTCTACAATTATAAATCCATTAATGTAAGCATACAATAGCCAGTAAAGGCGAATTAGAATCATATCAGAAAGTGTATTGTGGAACAAGTATAAGATGGGATGAAACAATAGTCATATAGTTTTTTAATATGCATATATATATATATATATATATAATTGTAGAGCCTGAAGAAGAATTTATTGAAACCACAATTGTTCGCTCTAAATAAGTATTTTGTTTTGAATAAATTATGGGAATATTTAATTTACTAAAGCTTATATATATATATATATATATATATATTTGTTGTTGTTGTTATTTCCAACCTTGAACTTAAGTCTAGACCGCCCCATTGGTTGGTTTATTCTCATATTGCCTCACACATCCTGATTACATTCACTCTTGAAACCTGTATTTTCTGTTAACTATATATATATATATATATATATATATATATATATATATATATATATATATATATATATATATATATATATATATGCATATTAAAAAACTATATGACTATTGTTTCATCCCATCTTATACTTGTTCCACAATACACTTTCTGATATGATTCTAATTCGCCTTTACTGGCTATTGTATGCTTACATTAATGGATTTATAATTGTAGAGCCTGAAGAAGAATTTATTGAAACCACAATTGTTCACTCTAAATATTTTGTTCTAAATAAGCTTTATCCGTAAATATTTCTGCTTCTTTTCCCTCCATTACAGGTTGAATGGTGAATAATCAAGTCAAAATAAAACATGGCACTATCGTCTATTGGGGAAGGTTACCTTTTTGTCTCATTCACCATTCTCGTCTGGATCTCAGTAATTTCTGGAGCATTCTACCATGGTAAGAATTTGAATGAATTTTTATTGATACATATTTGTCCACGAAAGCAGTGTTTTTTTTAATTTTGGGCTTTTAGTGCCTTCATTTTTTCTCTGATCATTGACTATTTATGCTGTAATATGCAAAAAAATTGTCCAAATCGTCGGTGAACGCTTAGTTTCGGAGAACGTGACAAGTCTCTGTACAAGTATGTGTGACGTAATGGTAAATTTGTATGCTTCCATAGGATTCCATTGAATCAATACAAAGCATACTCAAAAAGGTTTCTAAGCTTGTATAATAAGGAATTTTAATGACTTTTAATCCTTCACGGAGGAAAACATTGTGTCTGGATGATTTCACATCTCCATTCCACTTGCTTCTTTGGCGTTATGACTTTGGCTATATGACTGCCCTCTCCTCTTAAACTTTTATCTCCTTTTCCCATGAACTCCTTCAAATCTCCCTGAAATCCAGTCTAGGATCTGTCTGGGCAATGATGTCGCTTGAATATCATACCAGTGTATGCCCAATCCCTGTACCATTTCGTCATGCGTTTCCGAATGTTAGACAATAGGTTATCAGCTGGCTCACTGGCTGCCAATGTTTGTTGTTGCGTGACTTTCCTCTTTGCCTGTCTATCTGATCTTCAGTACTGCGGCTGCGATGAAAGCCTTCAGTAGCCTGTCAGAAAGGGTTTTGGTGACTCTTCCAACAAGTTTCTGAATCCTATAGATGCACTTATATTGACCCAGAAGTTCCGGTGCTGTTCCTTGTTCTAACTAAGTGCTGTAGATCTCTCCAGTTTGTTTTCAGAGTAATGGGCACTTTTATCACCTTCTCCATCGGATGTAGCCTAGATTTAAATAATCCTCATCCATGCCATCATCTACAGTTGAAACAATGTCACCCAGGTATATAAGTGAAACAGACGACTTCTCTTAGCTTTCTTATGTTGATAATGGCTGGTGTTTGGTTCCTTTATCACCTCTGTTATCTGTGTGTGCGACTGAAGGCCTGTCTTTGGTGTTCCTTCTGCCAACTTTTCCGTTTTCTCATGAGTATTTCTGTCTGTCTGTCTGTCTATCTTTCTATGCAATCGACTGGTCATATTTATTGTCACATATATCGGGTTATTTAAATCACATAGAAATCTCTTGAGGGTGACTTGCATATTGAAGTCATGTCTAAAGATTCTGACGACTAAGATAATGAAAACTTCAACTTCAGCTCAGAAAAGACTATTAATGCTAAATACATTCACCTAAGCAACAAATCTCTTCTCATTTTTTTCGACATTAAAATCTCCTCTGGTTGTATCAGTCTCTTTTATTGATTGAACTAATTCAGTAAGTGTGGAGGTGTGATACAGACAATGCGTGTTCCAACGAAATATGATTCTCACGTATTCCCACATTACATCAGTGCATTAACAACAGAATACTTTATATGTGTATTTGAACATTCTACTTTTTGTCATTTAATGTTAGCCAAAATCACACGCTCAGTGGTTGGTTTGAGAATGTAAAACTGTATATATATATATATATATATATATCAGTTAAAAATATACCTTGACTTCCGTGTCTTGCCTTCTGTTGTCACAACAAGAGTGGCACAAAGTTACGACACAATCAAGCGATCTTTTAATCGAATTCTCATCATTCAGTGTTGAATAACTTTTGTTCTACGTATTCTAGGTTGATGAATAAAGTTTCATTTTTCAGTCATTCTCAACATCTAGTTGTTGTTTAATTGGTGGATAGTGACTAGCAGTGGAATCCAGGATGCGCATTTCGTCCTATTTGGGACTCGTCAGTTGGATGCATCTGCATTTCTCAGTGAATGAGTGATGATGTTCCCACTGAGGCTCGAACCCATTGCCCATAGTTTCAAATGCCAAAGCGTTATCCACTAGATAGCTTGGGCCACGACAGCCACCTCTTGTGCAACGTGTCATATTAATTATTGAATTAAATTTTAAATTTTCCCATCGATTGATTGGACCGAAGTGCTTGGTCTCAGGTTGACATGTTGGCTTCTTGTGCAGATGCTCCGACGATGTCTGGACATGTAATCAGAATTTAATTGGTGGATGGTGACTAGCATCGGAATTCAGGATTCTAATTACATGTCCAGACATCGTTGAAGCAGCTGCACAAGAAGCCGACATGTCAACCTGAGACCTAGCACTTCGGTTGAATCAATCGACGGGAAAATCTAAAATTCAATTAAATAATCTTGTCGTTGTTATTATTATAATCATGTTCAACGACCATCACTTTGTTCTGTCCGACTATACAGTTGTGGCATAGATGTGGTATTCTTCGCATTTCCTATCTTATTAGAATCTACTAGTCTGAAATTCGTTAACATTTTGTGTTCCGTCGATCTAGTTGACCCCAGCCCATTACTTCGACCTATACATTTAACCCGATAATCATTCCAAGGTATTAGATAATAAATGCATTGATTTTGTTGAATGGATTTACACTGAGAATCGCAGTAGTGCTAGAAATCTTCAAAGAAAGCCATGTGATTCATCTGGAACTTCTCAGGAGACGGTGAAGGTTCTGCCTGTTTATATCTCAGTTAGTACAGTCAGTCAAGTTGAGTTTATTACCAAGATAAACAAGGGCTATCAAGCTTCTTCGAATGTAATAGAACTGCGGAAAAATGCTTGCAGGTAGAAAAAGGTGAATATACATGAAACATGGGAGTGTCCACCAAATGGTAAATACCCTATAAAATAACATGAAAAGATTATTATTATTATTGTTCCCTTGGGTTCCCAGTGGAACATAGGGCTTCAACTGCACGTCTCCATTTTCTTCTGTCTTCTGCTGTACTTTTCGCCTGCATCCATGTTAGTCCATACTCTTTCAACTCCTCTTCACACGATCTCCTCCATGTCACCCTTGACGTCCCACACGCCGCTTCCCTTTCGGGTTCCACTCGAGGGCTTGACGCGCGATGTCACCCAGCGGCCTCCTCAGCGAGTGTCCGATCCATCTCCACTTTCTCCTGCATATTTGTTGGGCGATTGGTTCTTGCTTTGTTTGTTCCCATAATTCCTTGTTGGTGATTCTTTCCGGCCGGCCATCTGATCTTCAGTATTGAGCGAAGACAGTTGTTAATAAAGGTCTGCAACAGGCTGTTGGAAATATTCTTTGTGACCCGCCAAGTTTCTGATCCGTATAGAAGAACTGACTGCTTTACGTTTGTATTGAAAATCCGAATTTTGTTGGTGATGCTGAGTGACGAAGATTTCCAGATTGATTTCAGGTTGATGAATGTGTTTCTCGCCTTCCCGATTCTCGCTCGATTTGACATCCTCGTCCGCTCCTCCTGTAGTTGAGACAATGCTCCCTAGATAAGTGAATGAAGTAACCTCTTTCAAATCCCTCCCGTTGATGGTGATTGACGTTGGATGTTGTTGCTGTTGTTGGTTGGTTATTTTCATAACCTCCGTCTTGTCTATGTTTACCTGGAGTCCTGTCTTCGCTGGCTGCTTCTTCGACCAGTTTGTCGGTTTTCGCTTGTAAGTCTTCGATTGTGTGTGACATCAAACATAAATCATCCACGCGCGAAATCCAGGTCTTCTAGGTTCTTCACGTCGGTCCAGGATATTCCTGTCTTCTCGTTTCCCACTGTCTGACGCATAATCCAGTCCACCACAATTAGGAATATCATTGGTGATAGTAAGCACCCTTGTCTGACTCCTGTGTTTACTCCAAACGCCTCGCTGAGTTTTCCGTTGTGGATCACTTGACATGTGCCGTTGTCGTACAGCTGTTGAATATTTGGGGTACGCCATAGTACTCGAGTAATTTCCAAATTACTTCACGGTCAACGCTGTCGAAGGCCTTCTCAAAGTCTATAAAGTTGAGGTAGAGGTTTGATTGCCATTCCATGCTTTGTTCTGTGATGATGATGCGTAGAGTTGCAATTTGGTCAGTACATGATTTGCCTTTCCTGAATCCAGCTTGTTCTGGTCGGAGTTCTGTCTCCAGTGCGTCCTTTAATCTCTCCAGGATGATGCGACTCAGGATTTTACTTGGCGTCGATAGGAGCATGATTCCTCGCCAGTTCTTGCAGAGTGAGGCCTAAGTCGCCCTTCTTTGGTAGTTTCACGAGGTAACCTTTCCTCCAGTCAGTAGGCACCTTTCCCTCCTTCCAGACCTTTTGCAATAATGGAGTCAGCATGTCTGCTGTAGTCTCTGGGTCCCTTTCAGTGCTTCAGGGGGTATTCCATCTGGTCCGGCTGCTTTTCCAGCTTTCAGAAGCTTGATTGCATTCAAGACTTCAGCTCTCGTTGGAGGATTGGTGTCAACTTGCAGTTGTGTGCGCGCTGTTGTTGGTATTTCTGGACGGGTTGCAGGTGATGGTCGGTTCAAGAGTCCTTTGAAGTGATCCGCCCATTGTTTAATCTGTTTTTCTTCCTTGGTAATTGGGTTCCCTTGGCTGTCTTTTATAGGTTTCGCTTGTGTTGATCTCTTCCCGGATAGAGATTTGGTTATCTGATATAGTGCCTGCTGCCTTCTCAGCTTCAGTGGCCAGATTGTCGTAGAATCGTCTTTTGTCCTTCCTAGCACTCTTCTTCACTTCTTTGTCCAGTGCTTTGTAAGTTGAGCTCATCGTCTCCTTCTCCTGTCCGTCCTTGCATTGAATCATTTTCTCTTTCACCATTCTCCTCTCTTCTATTAATTTCCAAGTGTCCGTTGAGAGCCATTCCTTGTCTTGTCTCTTCTTTCTTCCTAGAACCGTTGAACACGTTTCGTTGAGAATCGCCTTCAGAGACTTCCAATGTTCTTCCACGCATGATTCTTCAGTGATGTCGCGTAGTGTTTCCTGCTTTGCTCTGACAGTTGCAGTGAAGGTGTCTTTTGTGGTTGTGTCCTTCAGTAATTGAGTGTTGAACTTGCATTGTGGCCTATCCCCAGCTATCCTCGAGGCTTTTAGTTTCACCTTGAAAGTCCCTTGTACTAGATAGTGGTCTGAACCCACATCTGCTCCTCTCC